CGTTTGTGTTTTTACTTTTTTGTGCGGTCGTGGTTTCTCTATAGTTCCTTCAGTGGAACTGAAAAAGCTAGGCTATACTACCTTACTACCTTCGGATGACATGGGATATAGAACACATACATGGCAACTCACACATTCCCAAGTCATCTGCCTTGTCCCTTTGTGTCCGGGTCCGGAGTATGAATCCCATGTCATCACATTAGGCAAAAAGAATAAAAAATAAGATACTGCAAACATCACCCTCAGGTTCTTCACCGATGAAGGTCGATCCTGGGACACCAACCCAGGCCATTGAGCAGTACTCCGCTGGCATGCTGGAGCTGGAGGCCTCTACAAAGCGTCCGTCGGTCTCCCAGTGGTCGATCTGGTGAGTGGGAGATCGTTGCCACAGGTTTTTCCTCTAACATGTTTCTTTTCCAAATCCCCACTAAAAAAATGGAGACAGTTGATGCATGTAGGGTCCAGGAGATATACTTATCAGTCAAAGTGCAGCCTTCTCACACAAAAACAATCAGGAATTGCCAGGGGGCCATCGGTCTTGCAAGTATGGTCTTGCAAGTATGTTTGTGGGACAAATTGGAGTTTGAATTGACTTGAGCCTCTGTTCCATCATGTGCAATCAAAGACGAACTTGTTGGGGATGCGGTATCCCACACCTGAGAACGGATTTGGGCAACCAACAGCTGAAAAACGCACCTGAAGCCCACAACATCCCACACCAAATAGCTGCAACGGCAAGCACATTAATTAGGTTGGACTATATATATATATACATATACCAAGCTAGTTTTGCCTGCTTCATTAGGTCAGTGTCTGCAAGGTACCATGCATGAATAATATGCGTATAAGGCATCCACCAAGGTCCTAGCTTGGTTTTGAGCAATCTTTATTCTTGTCAGAGTCTTATCCGAGTCCAAATCTGTTTGCCCAAAGGACCTTTAGGGTCTTCTGGGGCATCTGCACAAATCCCAGCTGCCACATGCGGCCATGCTTTCAACCTGGCAAAGAAACATCAAGAGTTGGGAGACAAATAAACCTGACCGCTTGTTCTTGACTTTGCTCAAAACTACAGCTCTGGTTGATGCGATGATGAGCCTACTCACAGTTTTAAACAATGTGCATTTCTGGCGGTTAAAGGGATGGCATGGAAACCACATGATGCAATCATGGTCATTGAGTCATATGTAATTAATATAGAACCATGAAAAAAATTGTATTCAAAGGTATACTAGCTCATGGTGTCCTTCTCCCTTCTCGCCGGCAACTTCCGTCCCGCGTCTCGAAACGGGCCAGGGAGTCATCGGCGTGCTTGAAGGAGCTGTGAACTGAGGCGAGAGGAGTGAAGTCAACTGTGAGCTGAGCAATGTGTGGAGGGCATACAATTACTTTACTTCGAGTGACCCCCACCATGACATTTTAATTGTTTGCTTTCATGCCATGGTGAGGCGCATGCTGCCACGGCCGTGAGCTTTGTTCTCCACTTTGCTTGTGGGTCCTCGGGCTTCCGATTGATTATTTAGTGTTTGGGAGTTCGCGTCGGGGTGTCGCCAGGGTCTCCAGTTCGCATTCAAAAGCGCTACCCTGTGACCACTTGCCAGAGGTGATGTTGTAGTTGTTGTGTATTTGTGGTTGTGCTTTTGTGGCTGTGTTTGAGTGTTGTGGTTGTGTGCTGTGATTGTGTGTTGTGGTTGTGTGTTTGTGGTTGTATGTTTGAGGTTGTGCTTGTGGTTGTGTTCGTGGTTGCGTGCTGTGGTTGTGTGATAGTGCTTGTGTGTAAATGGTTCTGGTTGCGCGTTTGTGGTTGCATGTTGTGGTTGTGTGTTAGGGTCCCAGACTGCCCACTGCGATCTGGCGCTTGCGTTCTGGTAGTGCGGTTGAGGTCCGGTAGTGCCCACTGCGATCTGGCACTTGCGGTTGAAATTTCCGGTGGTGCCCACTGCGATTTGGCGCTGCTGTTGAGGTCCGGATCTGGCGCTTGCTGTTGAGGCCCGGTAGTGCATTGGTCGATCTGGCGCTTACTGTTGAGGTCCGGGGCGGAGGAGAAGGAGAAGGCAGAGGAGGAGAAGACTATCTGAAAATATCTAACAGCCCGACCGGTGGGGAATTAGAAAAGGGGAACAAGATGGTTCAAGGATGTCAAAATTAACATGGTCAAAGCTTCATTGGTTGGTGGGACAGTTTTAGGGGGTGCGTGGGCCTCTGTCTGTCAAGTACTTGGAGCTATATTTTAAAGCATTTAGACCAGCAGGAGCTATACATAAATAGCAGGAGCTACACATACACCACCAAGAGCTATATATATATATAAACCAGAAAGTAGAGAACTATGAATGACAAACTGCAACAACAGGCGCTCTTTTGCAACACTCAAGAAAAACATTTGTATCAACTTGGTAGGATTTGTGATGGTCTGTCAGGGTTAGGGATACTTAGCGCGGTACCTCCAACCCGTTGGCTTTAAAATGGCAGCAACAAGCTTCATCGTTTCCATCGGCCTTTTGAGGGGGCGGCCGCTTAGGCTCTAAGATGAATCAAAAGCAGGAAGAGTGTCGAATGAAAGTGCAAAGAAGAATTCCAACCAAAAGGAATGCCTAGAAAACCGGAGTGACCGTGTTTGTCAGGGGTGGATTAGAATAGGACGCTTTGTCATCGTCTAGATGCAGAAGTCAGTACGGAGTTTGTTAGCTCGTTCGTTGCACGATGGAGGGAAAAACTGGAAAAGAACTTGTCAGACTGAAGCCAAGAGAGATGTACTACTAGCGAAAACGAAACCATCAAACATATTATATTCAACAATATTCAATGATTGATTACCCAAAGCAGCTCCTACAACATGAGGGCCCTAACCGAGGAGTTCTTGTTTGACATACAAATCGAGCTACTACTTTGCAGCATATGCGGAAATCTTTAACTGTTATTTTTGTAGCTGAGTCTGTACTCTAAAGGCGCACATTCGAGAAGGGGTTCAAAAAGCCATCTCTCCGGGTGCACTTGGAAATCTGTAAATAGCTCCAGCAAAGTTATTGATTTTCCAACTGGTTGGTAGATGTGCTTTGGATGGGGAAGCGTCCTCCCCTTGTAAACATGTTTTCAGATCCAAGGCCCAACCAACCACACCTCTACTTAGCAAAGGTGAGTGTATTCTGCGCGCGTCGTTGGTGCTTGGTATGCGACAAATGGCGGGAGTTGTCTTGGCGGGCAGATTGCGTCTGTACCAATCGTTGTGCGACTCATGTTTACTCACGGTCATTCTTGCAGGCTCGGGTTTTGCCGTTTGCGTTGACTTGCGTTCACAAAAACATACTGTACACTTATATAGTCTTTATGCCTCATGGCAAAAAATATCTGTTCAGAACCGCTCTGCGCTATATAATAGAGCTAGCTTTGGATATAGCTCAGAACCACTCGGAGCCGCTCTGGACTACATATATTATTATATATATAGTCCGGAACCGCTCTGGGCTTGACATACTTCGAATCCCAATTGGCCCGAAGTAGTTCCAAAATGTTCCAAATAGTCCCGGATTATATATAGTCCGAAACCGCTCTGAACCGTTGTGGGCCATTTCCAAATCGGTTACCTAAATAGAGTCTGGAGCCTTTCAGGACCGTCAGAACCTTTCTGGTCTAATCAATAGAAACGAGCCTGGGGCCCTTTAACATCCCAAAGTTTCTCCTTTGAACGAGGCCTCACACACTCAGTTTACCCATTTGTTGTTTGATGTTTGTGTGATTTGTTTCTCGAATGTCATTATTGTTTTGTGGTAGGCCGCAGTAAGTAAGTGAGCAAGCAAGGACGCATATGTTCAGTATTTGATTACAATGTGTTGTTCCCGCCGGTTCTTTGTCGGAACTGCATAGTACGCGTTACAACCGTTTGATTCATTCATGGGTTCCCCAGTCAAGAACTTGGTTCAAAGAAGAACGGTTTGCTGAAGGAATTTCAAGCGCAAGAAACAACACCTTGAATTTGTGTTTTTTCATATCATTCCTGTTTGCGCACAAATCTGTTATGATCTTTTTGTACATCCACTTCAAATAGCTTTTATATATAGCTCCAGCTCCAAGGAGCGTTATATATATATATACACACTGTATATTAAGAACGTTTGTGTTTAGTTGTTCCAGTCACCAAGTCAACCGTTCACTTGCGACACTTTTCAGATCACTTGCGACGACGCTGAGCACAATTTTCTTGTCGATCACTTGCGACGACAACAGCATCACCAGCATCATGGGTGGGGTGGGGTGGGATCTAATGGAATTGGCCCATGGCCACAACATCGCATCCTACATCCGTGCACAACCGACACACACACACACAAACACAGTTTTCTATGATCTAAGGATTACTGTACCATTTATCTATATCTATGATCTAAGGCTTGCAATTGATGGCAGGTTTGATAAGTTGAGAGTCGCAATGCCTACACACAAAGCATCACCAGCATCATGGGTTTGGTGGGGTGGCGTGCGCTAGGAGAAAATCAGCGTCACAAGCGACGAGAAAATCAGCGTCACAAGGGAACGCCTCACCTTTTTTGGAGGTTGGAAGAGTAAAGAGTAAGAAATGTTGAAATCAATTTCCTGCAGCTTTTTGTTGGATACGGGAACTCCATGAAACTTGAAATCAAGCCCCATCAAGCCACAGCAGCTTGCCTTTGTTTCCCCATTTTGTCCACTTCTGCATGTCTATCGGTCTATCGTTCGAGTCCATTCGCATGCCCAACGGAGCTTGGAGCGCCTCCACGTCGGATCGTCTCCCAGCCGTCGCAACGACCTGGGAGGACGCCAAAAGCGAAGACGACTAGGGACGGGTTCCGCATGGTTCCGCTTCATTTCTCCAACTGAGACAACCTGGGAATGTTGGGGGACAAGGTTCCTACTAGTTCCTTATGTTCCTTTGGATTATCGACTCAGTCGATGCCTGCTCAGGACGAAACTGCGCCGGTGTGAGAGGCAAATGTTGCACAAAGCAAACGAGAGTGGGCAGCGCCTGGCAGTGGCCAACCGAACACAAAGCATGCCGCAATCAAATCCGCTTCGAAGTGTGCAATCGATAAATTTGGGTGTGCATCATGCTGCATCCGATTATTCACTTGGCCAAGACAAATCATTTGATTGGTCCCGATTGGTTGCATGCTCAGTACCTTTCAACATGTGCGTGGGGGCGGTCAGCGTGCAGTCATCATTTCTGGGCTCTCATCTGGCCAGTCTGAGTGAATTTCCTGCGAAGTAGCTGTGGTTGTCTTCAAGTTAGATCCCCGCATCAGCTCTGAGCTGGTCACAGGTAATCGGGTCGCACCTGGGACCTCTCAAGCAAAACACCTGACCTACTGGGTGTTTGGTGTTCGACTGAATGTCTGGCCACGTCTGCTCACAGAAGAGGTCAACAGCAAGCATTAAATGGTGAATTGGCGGAAAATGGCCCGTCGAGAGACTCAACAAACAAACGAACGAAACTCCTCTTCGCCCAGGAAACGCTACTTCGAGAGTAGCTGATGGCTCAGTATGATACGGCGCCCCGAAGCACCGAGTTCACTTCTCTCGGTTCTCTCCGGGTCACCCGGTGGCACCGAACAAAACACGCGTTGTACGCGCCACGAGTGTCCTGCGTGTCACACCGGTGCGAAGATTTCCCAGTGGCACGCACACTACTGGTGGCCACACCCACGTGCGGCGCATGACCCGGACTCAAGCTGCCTAGAGCTAAATCTCCAGGTAATTCGAGCAAGGCTTTAAAATCTTTAAAAACAACAATATAGCAATGCGATGCAATGCTTGGACTTCTACTTCCGGTTCGCAAATACGACGTAGCCAAGCTTTATTAATCGTACACATCTCAGCCTTGCCCACTGACTTTGATCTGTACATATCAAACGACAAGATTTTAGGCCAATTGATTGTGAAGACAGTGGGCAGCTGAATCGGTCTACAACAGCGACTCCCATGCAATGTGCAGGACAGTCACAGAACCTTGTGGAAAAAACCTAAACTACGCAAGGCTAACAAGGTCAAGAGGCATCTCATGCAATTCACGTGCCGCCCAGGTTGGGACCTGCCAGGCGCTTAGCTGTCTGGTTATTGCTCAAGATTTGGCCATCGCGGCCTCGCCTGTGCGTTTCGGTCAAAACCCGCCTCATGCCATGGCCCTCACGGCTGCCCGGCTGATGCTGGGCAATGGGCCACTGTTGGCTTCCTTGTCCTGGCTGAATTGGGACAACTTGACTGGAATATCAGCTAGATGCTAGGCTCGTAAGTCATGCCAGGTCGTAGGGTGAGCCCGATGGACTGTGACACACTTTAGATCAAGCCCTTCTGTCTTTGTCTGGAATCACTGGTTGTGAGGTGTAAAACCGGATAAACAAGCCACCAAAGCCCCACAGGTCATTGCTCACGTTGTCTTTGCAAAACGGTTCGCTTTATATAATAGGGGAAGAACTATAGACTATTGGTCCTCGACTTGACAAAGTGGCCTGACCATATACTTCCATAGACCAATCCCTACTCTGAGATGGTCTCCCAAACTTGGGCTGTGCTGAGTGCTCAGGCATTTCTAATCCAATTCAATCCCGGAAATGGCCGTGAAGACCCATGTCATAAAATTGATGATGCACTTTCATTAAATTGAAGAACAACACCGAAGCAAAACCCTTTTGAAAGAACCATGGAACACTAGGCTTGTATCTTCGGCAGATCTTGAAGGCAGTTCTAGGTACTGGCGGGTCTACACAACACCAAGTTGGCTGTGGACCTGCATCGGATGAAAGTCAATGGCAAGGTTACACGGAAAATTTGCCAAACATGTCCGCAAGTGTTCCAAAGTGGAGAATCAGGGTCTCAAGTCAGGAATAGGTGGTAAGCAGTGCAGCAGGGTCCCTCCTCTTCCACAATGGAATCCAACTACGCCGACGGACCCCACCTTCTCGGGAGCTTTGCTTGCAACAGGCTCGGATGGAATGTCCTGCTTTGTGATCCAACGAAAGGTTTGAGATCCAGTAGCAACCCTGGTTAGTATTGAAAACAGTTCACTTTCCATGGTGGTACCAACCGCCAACCACCACGGTGAGTCAGGCAAGCTATATATACATATGCTGTACCTTGGATATTTTGGATGAACTGTAGAAAGACATAACACAGATTCAAAAGGAAAAGACAATTGCACCAGCGTCGACTCCAAACAGCAGCGGCAGCTTGATGTTTCTTTTCACCGGCGAATCTTCAAAGTGTTTTGCCGGCAGTTTTGAGCCATTGGAAACCAAGGAGGCAAAAGGAGACAGCGCAGAATCATGTCACCCCAGCATCCAAAAGAGCCACAGGAGATAAACAGAGACAAACGGAGACAAAGTAGAATCATCTCAGCCCAGGGGACAAAGCAAAAGCCATGGGCGACAAAAGGAGAAAAAGCAGAAACATCTCAGGAAGCATCCGGAAATCATCTTGGCCCAGGATCGTTTCTATGCAAGAATTGAGAACCCCTCACAGCAAAGCTGTTTGGGGAACAAGACAAACATGCAACTGATTGACTGATTATGTTTGATTCAAGCTTTGGATTCGTGAAGTTGGCCCTCTCCTGTGTGTACTGTGGACTGGATCCCCTGGATCCAGATCCTGACCTCAACATGAAGGAGCATGTGGAAGGGCCTTTGAGAGCCATGGGGGGGATCGGATAGATTGGTCAATCACATCCCAACCATTCCAACCCTAGTGGGCCCAGCTGAATACTCACTGATTGGCACACTGCAACGTGTTGCAAATCCGGCCCACGACAATCAAATGTCAAACCAGAAGTCCCAACCCAAAGTCATGGGACCTCCGCCATGCAACCTTCTAGAAGAATATGTCAGTGTAGCAACACACTTGGCGATGGATGTCCAAATTTGGCTGCCCAAAGCGACTTAGTCTTCAGGACATTTATGCAGTTGAGTTGCGTGACAGGGTGCGGCTCTTGGTCCTTGAGTCACGCAGATTGCGGTTTGACACAGAAAGCAAATCCAGAGTGGCGTGGCAAAGGTTGGAAGGGTGGACAATTGGCGGAACATGTGCCGTGGACTCCCAAGTGACCCTGTGTCAAAATGCTGCGACCAAGGCTCTTGTCGCAACTCTTGGTTCATCTCCTGTGGCAAAATGGCCAAGGACTAAAGGAGCTACATCATTGCTTGCGTTCTAACTTTGCTCTATGCTCTATGGCATTGGTCAAATAGATTCAATTAGACGTATTTGCCAAAAGAAATCACTCGATCAAACTCGTCTCCGATGTTTCGTCCATCTTCCGACTCCCCGAGTTGGCGGGGGAGCTCTGCCGGGATTGCACAAACCTCCCACCAGGTCCTGTCCCGCCTCCAGCAACTTGCATTGCCGCCTCAAGAAGCTCAACTCCTTCAAGTTCTCGTCCTCAGGCCTGGCGAAACTTGAGAGCCGATATGAGCTGGTGATTGAAGCAGGAACCCGGCAACCAGGGTTCACATCCAGCTTCACGGGGAAGGTGCTTGGGGCATCTTTTCAGAAGTCACATCCCTCTACTTGTTGGCTGCTTTGTCAAAAATCACTTGAGCAAAGACAATGTTCAAGTTCCAACGGCTATACTGACTTAGTAACTTAGTAGCAAGAAGCTACTGGGGTGGAGGCCATCGCTACTAGTAGCCTCCAACCTAATAGCGGGGGCCTCCACTTGTAATTATGTTTCCCCATCGCCACCTTACACCCTTTTGTACTACCACCTCCCCACGCAGCCGACTCGTTGGACCGCGCCGTTCGGGGCGCCGATTTCTGGAGAAGCTGGCCACTTGACGAGCTGCTGCGTGCAGCTCCATGTGGAGTTCGGAGATGTCCTGCGAGTGCCCGAAACCTGGGTAGTTATACACTGAAGATACTGAAAATGGTCGCATCGGAAGGTTCCCGACATGAGAGAACAAACTTCCCAGGTTTCAATTAGAAAGTACATCGCATGAAAGTACGCGCTTAGTCTTTTGTCGAAAGGAATGTTAGCACCTAGCTACAACCTCCCTGGTTGCAGTATTGCCAGATACATTGACCACCATTGACCAACCCAAAGAAGTCCTAAACGAATACATGCCAAGCAGCTACAAGTTGGAAAGCAGCTAGAAGGTGGAACTCTTGAAGCTTAAAGGAGCCCCAGAAGTTTTTGGCCGCTACTTGGGGTATTGAATCTAGACACCTTCCAAGGTCGGCCTGGGTCTGACTTTGGGACACCAGCCCTCCTCATTTTTGGCTTTCAGCATCTCGTCTCGGATTCGCAATGTAGATTGCGCTCGGCATAGCTTTGCCTCCGTCACTGTTTTTGCACAGGTCAAGAACATCCCTTTTATCATAGTCGGGAAGGTGGTTTCCTGGTCATATCTTGTTAATTTCAAGCATATCATGACATGACATGCTAGGGTCGTGACTGTGTGCATCTTTTTGCGCACATCAAGTTTGTAGCAAACTATTGAGTGCATTTAACACTTCATCATGTTTGTAGCGTTCGCCCATTTGAACAATACTGGCCCCAAAGACCATGAAAACTGAACCCTGGCAAAACAACCCGCTCTGCCGCCTACTGATTCACCTGAAATCACTATATAGAGCAGTGTGTAGCATGCATATGCAAATACGGAGTCAAACTCCCCTCCAATCAAATAATACAAGTTAATACAACATGACATAACTGCGGTACTTTACACACCCAGCAACAGAACTGTACCAGGTAATTGTTCAAGGACAGGCGATAAATAACAACCGGTAAACCTAGTACTGTTTAAGACAGCAACTTGCTGTAAAAAAAAGGAGGACCCCTTGTATCACCCTTTACCTCCAGCAGTTCTGATTATTCCACCGAAATTCAGGGTCTCTTGGGGGTGCCTACCAGCAGTAAGAAACTGGCAGTAAGAATTGGACCCGGAATGCTGGGATTTGAAGACGGACCTCGGTGCTGCTAGGTACTGGCTATTACATCCCCTGAGCAAAGCCTACTCCCCCAGTGACCAACACAAGGCATCCCAGGCCTTAGCCGAAGCTGCAGCTTGCCGTGCCTCATGCAAGTCTCGCCGCAAAGCCACAAGCTCTAGGTCCTCTGGCTGCATGTCTGTTCATATCGTTGGAAGTAGCCACAGCCGGCAACCGAAAAGGTCTTCTGTAATCCAATTCAGGTGCCCAAAGCTTTGGAACTACGTCGCTCAGTATTGATGTGCAACGGACATTCAAGTCCTTCTCAAGCAACTGCCGCTCCAGTGTCTGCACCCTGTGGTACGAAGACGGATCCGGCGAGCATACAAGTGGCATACCCGGCCCACCTAGTAGCTTCTAGTTGCAAGAAAACTTAATTGCAAGAAAACTTAATTGTTACTGAAGAAGCGATGGCCTCCAACCTAATGGCGATGGCCTCACCCTAGTAGCTTCTAGTTGCTAGAAAGCTTTATTGTTACTAGTAGCGATGCCCTCCAACCTAATAGCGCTGGCCTCCACCTAGTAGCTTCTCGTTACAAAAAACCTTTAGTGTTACTAGTGTCGATGGCCTCTAACCTAATAGCGATGGCCTCCACCTAGTAGCTTCTAGTTACTAGAAAGCTTTATT